CTAAATATCACACAGTATTTAAACGAAATATAGCAAGTTGAACCTAAACTCAGCGCATGGAATCTAGTAGTTTTGAGTTACTTTTCAAAATTCAGCATAAACTTGCATCGATTAGTTTGATCAAGGTGCATTTGTTTTTTTTAGAAACTCATTTAAGTTTTGAGGGTGTTTGAGTTTTTTTTTTTAGATGCCTTAACAGTGACACATTAAAATATAAATATAAAGCACTGACCCTGAATAATTTTGTGAATGTGGTAATACACCATGATGCTAATAAAAAAACACCACATTACTCAAAAGTGTGCTCACAGCTGGACCATAGACTATAAAGTCTTATTCTTGACTTGCTCTGATACACATCATCAACTAACTGAAGCCAACAATTTGCCTTTAGGTAATTGAAAAGTTGTTGCTCCTTCGATGATGATATTTCAAGTTTGTGTCCTCCGCAGCCTTTGGACTTTGAATCCAAAAGGAGATACGTGGTGGCTGCGGAGGCGGCCAACGACCACGTCGACACTCGCTTTCTGGCTCCGGACGAGTTCAGGGACCGGACCAGGCTCAAGATCGTGGTGGAGGACGTGGACGAGCCTCCCGTCTTCCTCCGCCCCGTCTACGAGTGGAAGGTCCCCGAGAATGCGGCCGTGGGAACGGCGGTCGGCGGCGTCGGCGCCAGAGACACCGACGTAGTCAACAACGCCATCAGGTAAACAAGGAAGAATGGCACCTGCCACCACCCGGCGTCCAACAGCCAGCGCCATAATGACGAGTCACACACCGCAGCTGGTGTGGGCACACAATCCCCGAGACAGCTTCCTCCACGGGGGTGAAAAATCATTCCATTTTCAAATAGCGTTACCGGCTTGGCGCATCCATTTCTACCCCCTTGATCTCTGGATACCCCGAACATGGTCATATTTATCTCATATTACTTTAGTGGGAAATGAGCCCTCCTGAATAAATCATGACATTTTTTTCTTTTTCTTTTTTTTTGTTATACCTCACAGGCTTTTTCTATCTATTGCCGTGGCATTATCACAAAGAGACGTTGCTAGGGACGTGGGAATGTAATAAAGCGCCACACGAGGCTGGCATATGGAATTGAGATTTGCAGTCATTTGCAAGTGAGGCACATTGCGGAGGAGACCGGCGCCTGTAGTCCATCTCAGCAGAGCTTAAGAGTGGCAGGTGCTGCATATCATCCACGGCCTAGCATCCATTACTGTCCCTCTGGTGACAGTGTCTCATTGATTAATAAATTCAGTCTGACATTTCAGGAGTTTCCACAGTTCTAGTAAATATAATTAAGTTTACCGTGGTCAAGTTGGCTTATTTCCCATGTTGTTATCAGCAAAGCAGCTCCCTGAAATGAATCATTACCCTGCTAGTCTAATTCATTGTTGTGTTATATAATCGCTTAAGTGTTAAAGGTATGATGATTTTACCTGTGCAATAGCGGGATTATATTTTTATGTCAAAACAAAGAGACAAAGTCCAGCCTGAGTGGGTTGAGGCAGATCCTTTTCTTTTTAAGAATTTAAATGATTAGTGTTATAGGACCTCAGGCCCTCATTAGTGGCTTGCTTTCAGAAAACAACGCAAAAACGTAACACTGTGTGGACATTACTCTAATCAGTGGCGAAAAAGACTCCCTCTTTGTTTATGAACTTTCCATTCAACCCCCGATTGTTGCTCAGACTTCTTCGCGACAGACAGAAAATGTTTGCCCTAAAATTCAATTAAGCCGACAGAAAACATAGACTAACCGTTGCCATCTGCGCACAGCGCCGTTTCTCTTCTGATCCATTGTCACTTTGTTACAGCGGCTTGTATGTGCACCGGCTTTGTTGGATATCTATCAACAGATTAAAAAAAATGAGCAGTTTGCCTAATTAATCTCCCCGTGGTGTCACACTGTTTTGTTTGCCCAGAAAACAACCTTGCCTGCTAAATGTGCCTCCCTGTGAATCTTCTTCCAGATACTCCATCGACAAAAGGAGCGATGCCACAAAAGCTTTCCAAATAGACCCAAACAATGGCACCATAGCTGTTGTGAAAGCTTTGGACCGCGAGACAACCGAGTGGCACAATCTGACAGTTGAAGCCACAGAAACAAGTAAGGAGAATTTTTTTTATTCTTTGTCTACTTCTGGCTCATTTATTCCCCCCTATAAAGAAGCCCTGTCAATTCTAGGTGTATGATAGAGGCACGTGTTGAGAGAAAATTTAAGATGAATTATTGGAGCAGATGCACTCATAAACTTACCATAGACAAAGAAACCTGCTTTTTGTTGTTGAGAATGTTCCATTACACTTAGAAATCTTTTAACTTAGTAAATATATTATTTCACTTTCCACTTTAGGGATGCATGTGGTGCTCTGAGGAAGGCCCTCTGGATATAAGGCCTTAAAGAAAAAGCAAAGGAATGAAGGAATGCCCCAAAGGGCCGGTTTAAATTAGGATTGCCCAGATTTTTTTTTCCTTTAATGGTGTATCTCGACAGACTTACCGAGATGACCACCAGGATCAAATGACAGAGCTGGAACTTAGCACAATTGTTCTTTAAAATCCTCAAGAAAACAAGTGTTCTTACATAAGAGGAAAAGTATGGCCCTCCAAGAATTGTACTTAGCGATGACTACTGGAAAAAGATTTGGAACCAGCTCTCAGGCCTTATTTCTTTGAGTAGATAATCTTAAAGAGGTCCTTTTTGAAAATATGAATTTCATATAAAAGGTTCTCCACTGCACGTCAATGTCTGGCCATTAAAAGTGAGAAACTATTCCACATAGGAAGTATTAAGAAGTTCAGTCCAATGTCCAATAGTCCAATTTAATTATTTTTATTTCAAATTTCAGCAGAGCTGTTGGAAAATGTTTCGACACATGCGACAGAGCCAATGTGGATTAGTATGCTTGTTTTTTCTGACTGTGGAGGTTTTTCTGGTCAAAATTTTAGGAGTATTGTTAGAAAACCTGCTATTATCTTTTTTAGAGTTAAACAACATCATCTGCGTGTTTAACTATCAATTTATAGCGCTGCAGCTACTTTAAGTAATCGTCCACATTTTCCGGCCCTGGCAGTGAAAGCAGTCCAGAATGAGA